TGTAAAATTCTACTTCGCTTTAACACTTCCTGTTACGTAGTCCAGTTCGGAAGTTTCCTTCCCTTTCATGCTTTCTCTCACTGCTGCATTACAATCACTGCAATAACCTTTTAACTCATTATTTATTTTCTTCCTGGCTCTCATTAATTCAAGTTTCATACTACAGTTATTTCTCTTCAATCTTACCTTCATTCGTTCAGTTAGCCATTTATTCATTCACCAATTTTTATTGAGCATTATGGCCAGACTTCAGCCATATATCAGTAAATAAAACATACAAAAATTTCTGCTCTAATAGAGCCTACATTCTTGTTGGTAAGGATAAGAATATACATTCAATAAATATATTAATTAAATAGTACATCATGGAATACATAGTTTGAGGAAAAAATAACACAATAGCGGGGTGGACCAGGGTATACAGCGGGGGGGGGGGGGGTGTAGCAATTTTAAAAAGGGGTAGTTCAAAAAAATAAAATAAAATAAAAAGGGGTAATTCATAGAAGTGGTTCAAGGAGGAGGTTCAACTCATTTGCAAGGTGACACAGGAGCAAAGACTTGAATGAGTTGAAGCAGTGAGCCATCTACCTAGGAGACAAGTACCCTCATGAATTTGAGGAATAGCAGAAACCTTTATGCCCAGAGCAAAATGAGTACAGTAGTAAAATAAAGAACACATCTTCAGCTCTTCACCTTGTCCTGAGAACCCAGCACAGTCACTCAACTATGGAACTTTCAGTAAGTGATTGCTGAAAGGGCATTTTGTATCAACTAATTGTTTTTATTGATTGAATTAAAGATCATTTGCATCAAAAATTAAAGCAGCCCTCATTTAACATTTTAATAGCATGCAGTTTGGGTCAGATTTTTTGTTTTGTTTTGTTTTGTTTTACCATTTAAGGAACTATGCTGAGATAATTAGAGGTCCAGTGTTTAGACTTACATACTTTAATCTTAACTTATCCCACCTCAGCATTAGCCCCAGATGTCAGATACATCATCTTGAAGCTAGCAGATATCACAATCCTACTTAGAGGAAACATAAGCCAATGCAAGATGAATGACCCAGAGATCCTTCCTTTGCTGATGCATTGACTTTTGCTCTTGCTCTGGACTGACATACTGCTGTTCATATTAAAGATTTTGTCCTGGCCACTCCAGGACCATGGTAACATTAGTCATCAAGTGTGCATTTTGGTGTAAGTTCAACGCAGCTTCCACTGAGTCACCATAGCATGGTCATTGCTATCGCCCACTCTGTTTCAATAACATCACTCTAGGCATCTGGCCAAGAACTAGATTATCCTTTATCATTGCCTCAGAGAGCCCTTTATCATTCCCATTTCCTATTGTGAGGAGTGCAACAGAGCTACCTGCCAAGATATGTCTCCAGGACTATTCCATCCACCCAAGACAATCCAGGCCTAGGTGATTAAGACTGCCTCATAAGTCTGGGCATCTGCACTTGAGCCTCATTTCCTGCAGGTCAGGGTTACCTCAATCCATCAAGGATAGTTTAATCATATTTTGGTCCAAAGTGTTTGGATCCCCTTTCATATTTTTCTATGAATATGTATATACCTTATGAAGTACCCATTACACTTCCTTTATTTTTTTTTTTCAGGAAAAATGGCTGCCTGATTGCTTTATATCCTCATAATTAGAGAAATCATTCAAGAAATTCTCAAAACCAAAGATCTGTTTCAAGGTGCTTTGCTCTCATCAAGCTGAACAGAGAAGTTAGACATCTTTAAGTGACAGCTACTCTAATTAAATCACACTCATTAAAATGGTTTATTTTATATATTGGCCATTTCTATATGTATTCTAATTAAAACTTTTTAAATACTAATTCATGGGAAATATATTTTGATTACTATAATTGGTAAACTTGTCAAGAAGAAAACAGAAAAATGTATGTTTGAAAGAAGTTGTATGAAATGATTAAATTTGTAAGAAGTTGTATGCATTATTACGAAGGGACTAAATCATAATCACATTTAAAATCGTCATTTCTATAAAGTTAAGCTCAGATGTTCCACTTCTGATTGTCAGGCTCCAGGGACAGGAATAGCCAATAAAACTTCATGTTAAAGTCACTCTGTCTGGATAGGCATATTGGCTTTACCATCAGATACAGTATGCTGGTTTTAGGAGAGTTTATTACAGTAAGATATAACTTCTATAGCTTGTTTTAACTTTTTAGCAAAACTCTTAAGTATAGATGACTGATAAATCTAAATATAGACCTAGATTGTATGCAGAGATATATACATATATGTATTTGGGCTTTCTATCAACATTTCTGTTCTAAGGTACAGGGGATGTATTTGTGAACAAGACAAAGCACATTCCCACAGAGCTTCTATTCTACTCATAGAGAAAGACAACAAATATATAAACAAATAATGTAAAAATGATGAAGGGGAAGGATGTTACTTAGTTAATATGGTCAGAGAAGTTCTGTAAGGAGGTAACACTTGAATTCAGACCTAAATGTTGAAAAAGATTCAGTCATGCGGATGATTCCCAGAAAGAATGATTTCAAAATGGAAAAAGTAAATGATACAGAATGCAGTTACAGGTGTCATTGCACTGAGGAAGCTTCGACTGGTTTCAAATTCTTTTAGCAAGTATGCAGTCATATTTAACCTTAGCTCCGTCTTTCAAGAAAAATGTATCCTCAGGCTATGATTACAAAAACCCCAATAAAACCTATCACTGTCACTTTCCACCATGGTTTTGTAGCAGATACTATTTTGAATGTCTGGTTAATTCAATTGTTACCCTCTATGGCCTCCGCAAAGGTGGTCATTTGACACAGCTCTGGCCAATAGAATATAAAAAAACAAAAACAAAAACAAAAACTGAATGGGACTTCCTAGAAGCTTTTTGTTTTTCTGAGCAAATGGCTTTTGCTCAATTGCAGTTATATCATGAGGTGAGGCACATGAGAAAAAGCCAAGTGAATCATGGAGATTCTGGATGCTACTAAGCTGCGGAACAATCACCGTTAGTGATCAATGTCCAGATTTCATATTATCTGTAAATAAATCTTCATTCAAACTATTATTATTTGCATGTTCTCTTACTTTGAGCTGAGGCATTCCTAACTGATATGAGCATGTATTGTGCTCTGACCTTGATCATATTCTTGATGTCTTCTATTCATTCTTCCTTGCTATGCCCTCACTTCAATGAAAAAATTTCTTTTTCAGTGAAGGGGAACTAAAATCTTGGAGAAAAGATTAAACTTTATGTTTTTTATGCATACTCAGGTTGGATGCTTAATACTATTTTGTTATCAATGTTTTAAAATTTTTATTTATTGAAACACTTCCTTCATATTGATTTCTACAAAGAAAAAATAAGAATCACTTATTTTAGGTATTTTTCATAAGTGAAACATTAATTAACTCTTAGAACTGAAACATATAAATTATCATCTTCCAAAATTTTGTGGATTATAAAATCAGAGCTAGGAAATCCCTTCTCTAGAGTTCATGAAGTGATGCCTTAGATGGAGTTTCTCATGTCTCTTGTGATCATTCTGTTTTCACACAAATTATTCAAGAGAGATGACTGAGTCTTGAAAGGGAAGAAGGAAGTGAGTCATTCTTTCTATACCTGCAGAGAATAAATAAGTCACTGAATTTAGCATCTTGATTTGTTTTCGCAAAGCATTGACTTTCTTATTTTTTATATGTATATTAGAAAATAAAGCCAAATAGCCAATTATATTAACATTCACTTTACCTGTTAAATTATTATTATTTTTTATAAAATTTCACTTATTTATTTGACACAGAGAGAGAGATCACAAGTAGGCAGAGAGGCAGGCAGAGAGAGAGGGGAAGCAGGCTCCCTGCTGAGCAGAAAGCCGGATGCAATGCTCAATCCCCCTCCCAGGACCCTGGGATCACGATCACGACCCGAGCTGAAGGCAGAGGCTTTAACCCACTGAGCCACCCAGGCGCCCCAACCTGTTAAGTTATTTTTTAAAGATTTGAAAAATTTCCCAGTTTTATCAAATTTAGTTATTTTATATGTCTTCTATTTGGAAATTATTGTTAATAAAGGTTACTAAAACAAAATATTTTAAGCATATTTCCGTATTCTAAGTTTGTTAGATAAAGTAAGAGGAGACCCAGTGGTGAAAGAATAATGCATTGGTGAGTCAGAAATACGAAGGTCAGGCTCTTTTTTTTTTTTTTTTTTTTAAAGCAACCTCAGACAAATGGTTCCACCCTTTTAAACTTGTGTTACACATGATCATTTGATTTGTCTTCTACCACCTGTACTCATCCAACGACATTAATTTTGAACCTAGAGGAACTCAATGCCTCTGTAGAAGAAAATTAGAGATATATATTTATATGACATAGTCACTTCTTTTAGGCATTTTTAATCTGAGTAATTACAGAGTTGAGTGAATAAATAGAGTATATGTAAAGCAGTCTATGTTTTATTTTATGAGTGGTACTTACTAAAATATAGGAAATCATAAAGATCTTTTGCAGGTAGGTGATCAGGAAAAATTTCACAAAAGAAGTATATTTTGAGCTTTGGCCTTGATGCGTTTGAAAGCATTGGGAGCATGGATTCTAGAGTAAGACTTTTTCTGTTCAGTTCAGCTCATCTGGAATGTATGCCTACTTATTTGCTGACATAACGATACCTATTTTAGAGGGCTGGTGAAAGCTTGAAGAATTTTGTATATGGAAAATCTTAGAACAGTGTGCCTTATGCTGTATGTGCTTAAAAATGTTAACCAGCATTTAACAGGAGGAGAGGTATGAGAAGTATGGTGAACACCCTGAACAAGAGAAACCTCAAGAGAAGGTATCATTAGGAAGACTCCGTTGACCTACTGTGGTAGTTTCCTAAGGCTGCTGTGACTCGTTAGACAAACTGGGTGACGTACAATGAGAGACACTTACTTTTTCATAGTCCTGAAGGCCATAAGTCTGATATCAAGGTGTCAGTAGGGTCATACTCCATGCAAAGGCTTTAGGGGAAAATCCTTTCTTCCTTCTTCCAGGTTCTGGTGGCTCCTGATGTTTCCTGGTTTGGATAATTCCAACCTCTGCCTCCATTTTCACAAGGCTTTCTCCCATGTTTTCTCCCTGTCTCTTCTCTTATAGGGACACTTGTTATTGGATTTAGGGCCACTCTAATGCAGGATGACCTCATCTTGAGATCCTTAATTACATCTGCAAAGATCATTTTTCCAAATAAGGTGACTTTCACAGATTCCGAGTAGACCTATCTTTTAAGGGGTTGCCATTCAGCTAAATACACCCACTTATAGAAATTTAAAAGTATGTACAGGGGAGCTTTAGAATAGAGCTAGAAAAGTAAGAAGTGGCTTCCAGTAACTGGACACAAGGTTAATCGTTTTATAGACATTGGAGATCTATTGAAAACTTGAGGGACAAGATGAGGGCTGCAATTTGGAAAGATTAAGCTAGTGGCAGGGTGCAAAATTTGCTGAATAGGGAAAAAAGGAAGATATATGTAAGGAAGCTCACAAGGAGTTAAGACTTTGTCCAGTGTCATGACTCTGGAAACTAGAAAAAATATTTTGAGGCAAAAATTTAAGGACTTTGGTGAAAAATTGTTTTGGAGTGGTTAATATGGGAAAACGTAAGGTATCCTTTCAGATTTAAGAGTTGGTTACTCAGAAAATACTCATAACATTTTCAAAAGGAAAATTAAGCGCAGAGAGGGAACTATGGTGAGAAGTGATTCACATTTTTGTGGGGCATATTGAATTTGTGTTTGGGATTCAGGACTATAACCCAGAAAAGAATGACTTGAGGTAGAGATTTAAGAATCATTTTATAATTATGATTCATGAAACAATGAGATTAGATAATGTTCCTCAGAAAGTTTATAGCCAAAGGCTTTGAGAAACTTTGTTCAGAGGTAGTCCTTAAAATGCCATATATGGTAATGTTATTTGGGAACCTGGCTAACAAAAGAGAGAAACTGTAATTTAAGTCTTATCCAACCATTCTGCCAAAACTCATCCATATAAGACAAATATAACAACTTGCCTCCCTATTCCATCTTTATTAAACAAATGGCCTAACTTCAATCAGCTATAATGACTCCAGTGACTATGGTATCTGGTCATCTCAGCAAAGGCTCAGCAAAAGCATTCTGTCAACATTTTGGGTCATTTCAATCCATCATCTTGATAAACGTCAAGCCCGGCCAAAAAAAAATTTTTTTTTCTGTTCTCTTCACCAACATACTTGCTTTCTCTTTCTTGCAGATCGAAAATATTAATTTGCCATACTAATATGACAGCTGATACAAACTTTAGAACATCTTTCAGTATTAATAGTACCGGGATATGCTTTGCCAATAGAGTAATATTTCTTTTATTAAAGAAAATCTACTCTTGTATTTACTACATTGTTGTCTAAAAGCTGTATCAGAGATTTTTTAAAAAGTTATAATCTATAGAAAGGAAAGCCATCAGCAAATAATAGATAACAAATAATATATAGTACATTACTAACTAAAACAATGTCATTGGGTTGGCAGAATAGGGGACAGGAAAGTCGAAGGAAGTTTAGCAAAAAGAGGTAGAGATGCAAGAAAATCTGCAGGATGGACATTTAGCAGGAGCATAGTCAGAAAGGACTGTCTCTATATAGCGTTTCTCAAAGTGTGATTTTTGGGGGGACCACTAGGGCTTGATGAAAAAGTAGATATCTGGACCCTAATTCTGAAGATTGTTATTCTTTTTCGGAGGGATTCCTGTTGGTTCTGCCACTGTGGAAACATTACTCTAAAAGCCCTTTAGGAGAATCCAGTGAAGAACCCTGGGCTAACCAATAGGCAGTGAGAGCTGGGCTGCCTCTCCTGCCCTCAGGTCATTCTCCACTGAGGGAGTGGCTTGCCATGATGGGAAGCAGAATCTCCTTTCAGGCTGCAGTCACCCTAAAAAAAGGTTAAATAAGCTTTACCTCCAAAGCCAACCAGCTGATCCTAATAACGCTCTCCAATTGCCCCCACAGCTCATCTGAAGTCTGAAAATCCTTCGGTAAATGAAATTCTTTAACCCCACAAAGAGATAGGGAACTGTTTAAAATGAATATGTCTTCTCTGTGGATGACCAACTGCTGTCAAAGCATGAGTTAGATTGTGTATTGTGTGAAATGAAGAAAAATAAGCTTACATTTTGATAGAGAGATCTGGAAGACAACAGATGACTAACTTAGTAAATAGGGGGAAAAATGGGCAATAGGAAGAGACATAGGTTCCACTTTGGAATTTTATGCTGTAGAAAGGATGTTGATTCTTCTGCACTCTCTGGTTCCCATCCTATGAAGAGGAGATTTTTTCACCCTTATCAGGGGTACCGCAAGGATTAAATGTGATAGTGTTGTCCTGGCATACTCTAGGTGTTCAATGAAAAAAATATATATATATATTTTCTTTCCTGGACTTCAGAAATGTTCTATCCTTAAAAGGGGACAAATTATTTAGAAAGTAGAGAAGAATACCATGTAATCACAGTTTAAAGTCTTCACATTTTGCTCAAGATATGCCATGCAAATGCAACATGGAAAATGGCAGGTAGAGAGGAGCTGACTGAAACTTTAGATATAACCTACTCCCATGCATGAGCATCGTGACCTGGTTTTCCTGTGTCACCCAGGAGGAGATATGGGATAAACAATTTTAGAATGAAGGTCCTGACTCAAGCATCAAGCATTTTACTTTTTTTAAAATTTATTTTTAAGTTAGTGTGAGGTTTGAACCATGACCCTGAGGCCAAGAATCACATGCTCTACTGACTGAGCCAACCAGGTTCCCCCTAACACAAGCATTTTAAAAGCCAGTCTCAACACTTTTTTTTTTTTTTAACTCCTGTCCCACTAACTTTTTGATCCTTGGACTTCTAAATCATGCTCCTCATCTAGAATATTAGACCAGGCGACTCTTTCTTACCCAAATGCATTGAATTCCTTGTGCCCTTCCCTCAGTTTTACAACCACTCTCTCCATTCTCATGGGTAGAGGGGGTTTTATTGAATTCAAATGAAATGCTTTACAAACCAAAGGTCCTACAATTCTGTGAAAAATGGGATCTTGGCAACAAATGAGTTGGTTTTTTTTTTCCCTTAGATTTTTAAAGCCTGAACTATTTGTCTCACAAGCTTTATGGTTTACTTTTAATAAGGCTGGTTTTATGGGAAGAAAGTTTTGATCCAAATGTATCTCTATAAACTGGTCGAGATGCCCAGTTTTTGCCTTTGCCCCCAGCCAAGTGCAGTATTTGAAATAAAATGTTTCAACCACTGGAGGTCATTAAATCCCATAAGAGTTTTAAAAGGGTTTAGTTGTTTGTGAATATAATACATCAAAATGTCCAAAATATATTTAAGAGTGTTTTCTCGAGTTGTTGTTGTATGTAGTTGGCCATAATTTAAAATGAATGTAATGGTCAACCATTGGGCAACTTAACTGTAAAGGAGAAGGCATAGTGTTATGAGAGTTTACAATAGGGAACACTGATCTACTTCTGGGAATTTTACAAGTCCTCTCAAGAAAGTGTTGATTGAATGGGAATCTAAAATATGAGTCAACTCCTATATAGGGTTGGAAGTTTCCGTAGAGAATAAGCCACATGGACATAGTCCTGAGGTGGGAAGGAGCATATTACATGCTAATTGATCTGAAAGAAGTTGGACAGAGGAATAATAACAGTGCTGACCAGGAAAAGATAGGCAAGAAGAACGAGCATATGCATCTTTGTAAGGCACAAGATACATTTTGGTCTTTCTCTTAACATTTTGGTCACTGAAAGGTTTCAAGCAGGAAACAGATGTGATCAAATTTGTATTTTAAAAATGCTACTCTACGGTACTGAAAGAAGATTGATTGGAAGGGCAAAAGTAGACAGAGGGAGACTAAGTAAGGAGTCTTTGCAGGATCCATGAGCTAGCATGAAGGGTATAGGTGAGGGGAGTCCTGAGTGAAATTATCGGGTAGTGATAACATTCATACTTTGAATGCTGAGAAGTGAGTGACTTTTAGATACATTTATAATATAATTTGAATTCAAAATTGATTGGAGGAATGAGAGATGGATATTTCAATGATAACACTCAAGTTTTGGCTTCTAGCTTGCTCTTCTGATGGATGGATGGATAAGGGTTTTGACTCTTGTATACATATAAGTATATATAGCTCAATGATTCATAGGTAGATAGGTTTTGCATTTGGGTAGTACTAATCCAAACTCGCTAGCAGAAAGGAACATAGTATAAGCTTGTAGAGGTGAACTTTGTAGCTTAGGATCGGGAATCTTCTCTTCTGTTCATGAGGAGCTGACATTCCATTCAGCAAGTGCAAGAGGATATAAAAATCATAGTATGGTTAAATAATATGTTTCTGCCTTTTGTGACATAAATGTCACGACATTTATGACCAGCGTTCCTTTTACTCAGTCTCAACCAAATATATTCAAAGTTCAAAACAACACTTGTGTCAGTGAGGCAGGATAAGAAAATAATTAGCATATGGATTTTAGGACACTTACTATTGATGTACAAATCCCCGTTTTGACATTAGGACTTTGGACAATTTATAAACTTCTTTGTATGGCTGTTTTCTATTAAAACAATGTAAAAAATACTAAAATGAAACTTTCTTCATGGAGTTGTTGAGAGAAATAAATGTGGTAATATGTGTAAAGTGCTTAAGATCACTTTAGACCTACTGGTCGCTACTCTACTACTCAGTGTTGTGACAATATTAACAGCCTCGTACATGACACTAAGATCTAGACCATAGGTATTGTTTTAGAATATATCCAGCTACACTAAGCAGAGCTGAAGGAGGACAAATTTTCAGAGTGGAAGTTATGATATCCATTTTTGGCATATTTATTTCTAGCTGACCGTGAGGCATCCAAGTGAATATTGTGAGACGTCTGTGAGATATACTGTCTGGCATTTGGAAGAGATCTGGGATAGTGATAGAAATTAATGATAACAATACAAAGGGAAAAGGAAACCACCGATGTGGATGAACTCACTCCTGGAGGAAGTATGCAGTGATGTTGCACTTTGTGTTTCCTAGGAAACAGGCTCTATAGTGAGAATTAGCAGGCAGTTTATTAGAGAGAACTCTTAGGATCAAAAAAGTATTAAAGAAAAAGAGTCCAGAATGAACAGTGTGAGAAGTTGGACTATGATGAAATATAAAAGGCCTCAGGTCACATCACGGGGATGTTAAAACCAGAACAGAATTTCAGAGTTGTCCAAAAGTTAGGAAGGTTTCAGGCCTTTGTAGTCCTGTGTTGACCAGTCATTAAATGAAGTCTCTTCCAACACATCAGGGCTCTCCATCCATCCCTCACAGCTGGGAGAATGGGTGCTATCATGCTGGATTTGGGAAGCAAGTGACAGCATCCACCACAAGCGAAGGAAAAAAAGGTGTTAAGACCCTGATGATCTCCCACTTTTTAAAAATCCAGGAGGTGAAGACAATCCAGGAAAGTAGAATTAGAATGGAGGGTAGGTCAGACAAGCAATCGGTCATTAGTAAATATATTTCAGTGAACAGTGAACAAAACAATTTCTATCCTAAAAAAATTCACACACTAGGGAAATATTCTCCAAAAATGTGGTTAGAATTAGAGAGGAATTAGAATCAATACTGCACTTCAGTCCTCTTCATAAAGATCTTTTGGGCAGACCCGATAATTTACTTTTCTTTTTCTCCCTCAAAATCAACCTTGTTTTTTAACAGAAAAATTGGGAAGATCTTTAGAAAAATCCCTTTATACCCCTCATATATTCTCCCCTATTGTTAACCTCTTATATTAATATAATGTTTGTTCCAACAGACAAACCAATGTTGATACATTATATTAACTTTAAAGTGCATACTTTATTAGATACCTTTAATTTTTCCCTCAAGTCTTTTATCTGTTCCAGAATGCTGCACTAAACATAATTGTTACATCTCCTTATCATCTTCTTGGCTATGAATGTTCCTCAGATTTTCTCTTTCAATTACTTTTACAATTTTGAGGAACACTGGTAAAGTACTATAAACTATATACAATATAAAGTACTATATACAATGCACTGACAATTGCACACTTAAAATTTATCTGATGTTGTTCTCATAAGTAGACTGAGGTTACGGGTTTAGGAAATGACAATGAAAGAGAGTGATTTCAATTTACATCACATATTAAGGATACATACTGTCAATATGACTTATGACTTTTGATGTTGACCTTGATCACCTGGCTGAGGTAGTTCTATCAGGTTTCTTCACCACAAAATTACTTTTTCCCCCTTTTCCATACTGTACTTATTGGAAAGAAGTTACTATTCTGTCACCAATTTAAACACATATCTCCATTAGGCCAGAGTATCTACATAAGTTATTCGGAATTCTTAAGCACGGAAGATTTGTCTGTTCTCTCCTGTTTTAATACATTATTCAGTCATTTGTTTATATCAGTATAAATTCGTGGGTATTTATTTTATACTTTGGGTTATAATCTAATACTCTTCTATTATGTTTGTTCAAAGTGTCTTAGTGTGGTCCCTGGGAGTTCTTTCAGTTGTCTTCTAGACCTTTGACATTGTCATCAATCTAGGTTTTATTGTTTGTTCTTTTTTAGCACTTTCTTACTTTCTGGCACTATGGGAAGCTCTGGGCTCACCTTTTTTGCCCCAGGTGAAGAAGCAGTCAGTTCTCTGAGGATCCATGTTTCCTTTTATTGGAGAATAGCATCAGACACCAAGATCTCTGTGCTAGGTGTGCTCATTGCTTCTGGGACATCACTTCTTTTAGGTACACTTTACTGACAGAACAAGAAAATATATGTTTATGTGAACCTGTGTGTATGCACATATTTATGAATAATTTTGTATGCAACCATATGTATTTAAAACTATTAAGCCAATTATGAGTTCTTCCTGTTCTCTTTAATTCTATTCCATCACTACATGAATCATTCTAGTCTCTTCACCTTGCTTACCTGTAAATTTTCACTCCAATAGGGAGAAACCTGGCTCCTACTATCCACTATCCATTTATTTAATTGTTCAACTCAAATAAACATATGTAGCAGTATCAGAATTGTTAATGTGTACCCCCCATGCACATTTTCTGAACAAGCTTCTCAGATGCTTCTTGTACATATCAAGATTTTAGCCACATTGAATAAATAATTTCTGAATCTAATTATATACACTTCTTTCTTCCTTCATAAGATTAAAAATTGTCTTCTTAAAAGGATCATAATTTTGCATTTTTTGGTATTTTAAATATTTAATACTAAGCATTAAAATTAAATGTAGTCTACATTAACTATAACTTGGAAACCAATCAGTAATAAAAGGGGGTAAATAGCCATAGCAACAATCACAATAATAATTTTTTTTCTGCATTTCATCTCTTTTTGTTAATAACAAGTAATAGATTTCTCATTTTGAACGTAATTAGGTGATATTATTCACCTCTGCACACTCTCCTTATTAATAGAAGTAAATGTAATTCATTAGGAAATATAAAAGTGAGCAGTTCACTGCCTCACAGAAGAAATACTTGAGTCAATCCTTAGGATTTAGCAAGTCATGACCTACATAAACTAGCTTAAGGAGAACAAAAGGCTGAGGTGGTTTAGATTAAGGCTGTCCCATGGGAACTCAAGGGAGGAAGCAGGCAAGTTCTGACATGAGGGACTTCAATGCCATGTTGACTTTTGTTCTCACATCTCTGTTCTTCTTTGTGTACATTCTTTATTTTTCTCTCTGGCCTCTCTGGTTCATATGTTTCATAAAAGATGGTTATTCTATGCTTCCTGTACTTGTGCTTTAGTGGTTCAGTCATCCAAAACAACATTCTTTTCCATGTGCACATTCTCAGTCAGGAATTGAGTGGTGTCTGATTGAATCCCCCAAGGCTATAAGCGAAAGGGGTGCACTGGGCAACATGGCTGCCAAGGCTGATCCTTGTGAAGGAACCAAGGTAAAGAAATGGTGGCTGTGACTGGGCACTATCTCCAAAGGCGTCCGCTACAAAGCTTAATAAGACATTGAACATGTAATTGTGTTCATTAGTAAAGTAACACTTCTACCTGAATTAAAACGATCGGCTGATTTCTATTTTTTGAAGGTTAGTAGGTCTAATTGCCTGAACCATTTCTCTGGTATATTATTTTGTCTAGTACCTTTTTATTTAATTTCTATCATACTAAATTCATTTATTCTTGATTAGTCATATCCAAAGTTACCCTCTCCACAGTCACTGAATTGCTATTCCCAAACATCTATCTGGGAGTGAGAACTGTTGCTCTCAGAGTTCCCATAAACTAAAAAATTGCCCAGTATGATTCCTCATTATGTGCCTTATCCCAAAGGATAAACTCCCCAGCCTTCCCATGCTTCTCAAAGCTCACATTCTCTACTCCCAGAACATTTACTGATCATAAAATTGCCATTATTCTAATACCTTGGAGATTCAGAGAACGCAGCTAAACTCAACGAGTATCTAAAAAGAATAAAATAAAGGTTAACTCAGACACAGCACAGTATCTATGCAAATATATTTTAGAATTACTTTTCTCACTAGAAGCAATGTTTTGTAATTGAATCCCTCAAGTGAGAGAAGAATTAACCTGAGTGGTTTACAAGTTAAAGTACACTTTTTAAGAGTTACTGAAATGTGAGAAACACATATACTTTTCCACAAAATGATTTAAAAAAAAAAAAAAAACAACTATCAAAAGAGTGGAAACTTACCTCCTTATCTCCCACTTGACTTAAAAAAGAACGGAGTGCTGTAGAAGTTATATAATGTGTTCTTATATGCCTAAAAAAAAGAGAGAGAGAGAGATCTCTTCACTTTTCACCACCTTTCCTTTCTTTAATTTCTAGAGTTTACCCAGTTCCCAGTCAAGTAAGACAGCATACTTACTAACAGACAACAGAGCTTCATTGTTAAACCACAAAGGCCCGGTTTCTTGATGGCAGATACACAGTGCACAGTAATACATTCTTAAAGAACATGTTGGCTCTAAAATGTTTTATTGTTGAGCCTTCAGGTTGCTAACATTATTTTGGGCCCTTGGATACCACTAAGACTTGTCCATTTAATATCAATTCATTTATTAATTTGACTATTTTTATTTTTTTAGAGTTTTATTTATTTATTTGACAGACAGAGATCACAAGTAGGCAGAGAGGCAGGCAGAGAGAGAGGAAGGGAAGCAGGCTCCCTGCTGAGCAGAGAGCACCAGGCAGGGCTTGATCCCAGGACCCTGAGATGTGACCTGAGCTGAAGGCAGAGGCTTTAACCCATGGAGCCACCCAGGGGCCCCATTAATTTGACTATTTTTAAGGACAGTGCTAAGGATGATACTCTCTTGAAAACTAACACTAGGCCAATACAGAAATATATATTCACTAAAGCTGGAACAACTGAAAACCAACTAGACACTTCCTGGAGAGGGAAGGAGAGGGAAAGATAAAGGGTTGGGGGGGGGATGGGATTAGACAGTTTCCTTTCTGAAATAACAGAAGTTAAAAAATCTGTATAGGGACACATGGAATATATTACTTACATCCATTTTTAAGCCTGAGTACAGTGAATCATATGGATGGACAGTTTTGCTGGCAGCAAATACAGAGACCTCAAGACAACAAGTATAATCTAAATATAAGGTACTAGGGGAACATAGTAATAATTAAATATGGGCACTAGCCTTAAAAAATAGTACAATGATACCAAAAGTAATATCAATTTCTTTAATTAATGCTAGCTAAATTGAGCAAATTTTACTTTTTTTTTTTTTTGGCAGTTTTCCCCCAGCTTTATTGAGATGTAACTGACATAAAACATTGTTTAAGGTGTACATTGATGACTTAATACATGTATTATTGCAAAATGATTACCACAACAAGGTTAGTTAACCCACCCATCACCTCACATAATTACCTCTATGCATGTATGTATGTATGTACATATTTTTGTGGTGACAACTTTTAAGACTTATTCTTTTTCTTTAATTTAATTTTTTTTTAGTGTTCCAAAATCCACTGTTTATGCACCACACCCAGTGCTCCACGCAATACATGCCCTCCATACATATTTTTTTAAATGTAGGGACCAAACTATAATGTATTCTTTGTACTGGCAACCATGACAAGAGAATTCAAGACTAGCTTATTAAGAAAAATATATAAAGATTAAAATGTATTTCTAACTGTATTTATAGGGTTCCTGAGCATTAACGAAAGGGAAGGTGATGAAAAGTGGGGGAATCTCTATTTTTGGTGTATATGAATTCATTATGTAATTCCTGCAGCATTGAAATTTTAAAATTTGCATACAGTGTCACTTGCCAGAAGCAGATATTTTATGCATAACTACAGATGGAAGCTGTTAGCTGGAGTTTTGTCCTTAGTTTATCATCATTAGATATTAATTAGAATGGATCAGTACCTACCTGCAGGCTTTTACAAGAAGAAGAAAGGGCAAAGTTAATCTGCTCACAGATCACAGTTCAACCGGGTATAAGGTGGACATCACAAGTCATGGGAAATATTTGGCATATACTCTTTAAAATTAAATTGGCTATACTTGACTAATTGCAGAATGTTTTAAAAGAAAATCTGATACTATGAGAAGCATAAGTCAGGAATATGGAAGAGATGAGAGTTCACCATCCTCCTGTACCAGTTCTGCAATAATCCCCATGAAAACCTACCAAAATGGAGGCAAGAGAGAACACTTGGCCCAGCATTTCAAAAATAAGCTCCTTCTCTCTGAATTTTAGCAATCTTGGAAATGCTTGTAACAATGAAATTCACAAATATCCTTTAGTAAGTACTGTTCACATTATAGTATATATTAGGTATGTTCATTTTATTAGCCAAGATGGAGAACATAATTTCTATGTCTCAGTTTTTATCTTCAGAGTGTTTAATGTTCCATTTATCATCTTATATTTAAACCACCACAGTGTAACGAGAAGGAGATTTAAGGACCAAAAAAATTTTAAAAAGAAAGAAAGTTGGGACACAAGTAGGGAAGGAGGATATATTGCGGTTGTCTGGCTTCTGGTGTTATATACCATCTTACAGAGATTTGTTTCAGGAAGTCTGGATTCTGACCTCATAGTTTCTTCACTCTGCAGCATTCAGATGCTAAATTCTGTACTTCACATGGTTCTTAGGAAGATCAAATGAGACCATAAACTCTAAAGCGCCACTCATTCTACACATTAAAAATCATTTCTCGAGCCTTATGTGAGAGTGGGAGAAGAGAGGGAAGAGAAAGATAAATTCAGAATGAGGAGATGTGTTCCGAATTAATTGGTAGGGAAAGAAGAAGTGACATAAAGAAGAGAGAATCCTCACACAGCCTTCGTCATCAAATTGCCATTTTCTGCAACTGCTTTCTTTGTTCTTCTTCTGGCAGAGGTTGGCATTGGTAATCCAAACTCCATTTATTCATTTCCTTGAGAGTGGGCGTGGGCAAATGCAGATCTTAAAGAGAGAAGGGGCAGAGAAGCGTAATTGACATATGTAGGCAGTCCTTCTGGCAAACGGAAAGTTTTGACAATTCTCTACACCTCTCAAATATCAGTTCCTTGGTAGAGCAATAGCTCCCTTTTATACATTAACATTGATAGTTATGCAGTTGTTTCCCAAGCTTAATTTTTTGAACATTGGCTTTATTAAATGAACCAACAAGTATCAAGTGTGTTCTTAATATTACTAATCAGTAAGTGAGAGAGAGAGAGAGACTAAAGAAATTTAGCATTGTCTTTTCCTGAAGAATTTGCAATTTTTTAGGAACTAAGACATACCAGTGATAAAGTGAAAGTCACATAAAGCTATATACATTATTTTCCAAGCTCCATATTATAGGGTAACAGCTAGGAAGCACCACTGGAAATCAGAAAGGAAAGGGTAAAGTAAGGCAAAGTGCAAAGTGCTCTGTAGTACCTTACAACTTTTAAAGCAGGGGAGGAATTTAGAAATTATCTATGTAAATCCTTGTTAAGGTACAAAGAGACTCCAAGCTTACAGTGTTGCTTAGTTAGGCATGAAGCCAGAACCGGAATCCCAAATTTCAGCACCCTAGGCACGTTGTATCAAGCAAAAGTTTACCTTGACAGTGAAGGCTGGGCATGCTTCAGATGGGAAGAGGAAGAGTATTTTAGGTAAGCAGTTGAATAAACTATGAAATGAACAGTTTTAGGATCTGATATATTGTATTATGTCAATGACGTTATCATGCCATAGTTTTACTGGTTTTGAGAATTTATAATATAAACAAATAACTTTAACAACAAATAAATATCTGCTGGATTAAAAACATGTAGATAATTTACCCATGCAAAGAAATCTACTTTATATTTTTGTCTTTTACAGATCTAGAAGAGTAGATGACAGAAACATTAGTAGGCTGTCAATCAACATTTTGACTGAGAAATGATGATTATGAATTACAGCTATCCTTCCCCCCACCCCAAACCTTATCCATGGTTTCACTTTATGCTGTTGAATTACCTGGGTCAGTGAGGTCCTGAAGCAGATGACCCCCTGCCTCAGAGGATCAGAAGGTTAATACCAGCCTAACGCTAGGTTGACAACGGTTACATCATTCACCTCCACCTAATCTCCTCACACAGGTGTTTCATCATCTCACATCCTCACAAGAAGGGTGAGTGCAGTACAATAAGACATTTTTAGAGAGAGACCACATTCACGTAACTGTTATTCCAGTATACTGTTATAACTGTTCCATTTTAGTATTTGTGTATTATGCATTATTATTGTTAATCTCTGTGCCTAGTTGATAAATATAACTTTATCATAAGGATGCATGTCTAGGACAAAACATAATGTATCTAGGGTTCGGTACTCTCCACAGTTTCAAGCATCCAGTGGGAGGCTTGGATGCAGGAAGTCTACTGAATATGCTTGGAGAGTGACTTTCCAGTCCTCAGATCACCACAAATTCATTGTGCAACCTTGATACTGTCACCTGAAAAGGAGAGGTCGATAATCTCCAATTCCCTTCCTAAAGCATCATTCCAAATTTATAAAGGAAAATCTGTTTGAATGATGGAGAAACATCATTTGTGAGTTAGTGTTTGAAGAAAGAGCAGTGTAATAAAGTCTTAAATGCTTCATCTCTACTTGTGAACTAGTTTTTCTCTTTGATTTCTAGTTCTTACCATGATTTGGATCCTGTTTTCATTAATTTTCTGTTGATTCAGAAAACAGTTATCTCGCACATATGCTGGATCAAACACAGTGCTAGGTGCTGGGAAAAAGGAGATGAGAGGAAGCCCTTTCCCTAAATAAAGAGATAATTAAGGTACGAAAAATAAGGCATCTTTCAGGATCTATTATACTCAAGGTACTAAAGTAGTTTAAATACTATTTAATTCAATTCCAATAAAAATCTATAAATTATTATCCATTTATAAGAGAGGAACTGAAGCCATATGTAGTGTAGAGTAAAACAGAAAATTAGAAGAATGAATAACATATAATAGAAGTAGAAAATAACTTGATATTTTTTAAAAAAGCATCTTTGAAATGGTTGTCTTTTTTCTCTTATGTTGAATTCAAACTTAAGAAATTTTCAAATGCAATTTAAACTTAAAAAAAAATCGGGGGGTGGGAGGTTGGGGGAGCCAGGTGGTGGGTATTACGGAGGGCACCTATTGCATGGAGCACTGGGTGTGGTGCATAAACAATGAATTCTGTTACGCTGAAAAGAAATTAAAAAAAAAAATGCCCTGAAAATGGTTTACATACTGAAACATTAGCATTTAAGTAATTTATCTGAAAATAAATAAGTGCATTTTACTTATTCCCCCAATTGTTTTTTGAAAGACTTCTGCTTGGGGCACT